AAGATTGTCTAAGTATAGTCAGCCGAAACACAAAGGTTCATTTTGGTAAGACTGAGCAAACACAACACAGACATGCAAGATGGACATTTATGCTAGTGTTTGAGAGCAAGGAACATCTGATTCAGATCCTACAAATGATTACGTTCCCATCAAAAATTCTGACTTAACAATTCTACAATAATATTAAGAATCTGCTGGGAGGGAGGAGATAAGGAGCACATAGTTCCATATTTGGGCACCACATTTCCATATGCATATATGGTGATATGGTGGAGGCAAATGATATTTCAAGTTTTCAACCAGTTCCCTTGTGAAAGCAACCTCATCCCGCTTCCTTGTCCATGCTGTACATGCTACAGTATCATCGGGCACAATGTTTTCCATTTCTGCTTACTCTGTTCTGGTAAATAGGGGGACAGAACTAAAGCTTCAGTCTGTTTTAAACAGAAATAACCAAATTTTAAAGCAGAGCTTGCATTAATATTTTTGTATTTGAACACTGGAATCTCTAAAGTTAAGCCTGCAGAAGATTTAATTTCCTATCCTCCTTTATCTATGGACTGCTTTAATTCATATGGGATATTCAGTAGTAGTCATTAGGTTACATCGCACAGGTCATGGTTTTACTAGTTTTGCAACATTTGATGTCTGAAAATATGTTGTGCATCTAAAGCTAGGGTCTTGCTATCTAACATTTTTATAAAGATAATAAAAGTTAATGAGCTCTCATGATCTATGCAGTGACGAGACATCTGCTCTTTTCTGCTCAAGAGAAACACCCACCCTGCCTTGTTCTGGCATAGTGGGAGAGAACAGATACAATCCAATTAATCATTCTAAACTATAAGCTATATTAAGTTATGGCTTCTCAACAGATTTGTCATACACTGCTCTTAATAGGGTGCAGGTGTTCTAAAGCAGTCTTTTTGGTATGATTATTAAATCCTGTTTTCATCACATGATCAGCTTCAGCAGGTAATCCTGTTTATGTCTATTAAAGACAACTCCTTCCCCACCCCCAGTTAATGTGTATTTAAGGCTGAATGTTGAAAGCTACAAAAGCAAGGATATGGAGTTCTTGGTATAACAAAAACAAAGGCTCCGCTCCCTAATGCATGTATACATTGATATGGTTTTCATTAAATTAACACACACTTGGCAATGACATACCATTGGCAAATATTTTTTAAATGCAAATAAATTAAAGCGAAAGCATAGACAATTTCCAGGAGACCTGGCTCATAGGCTTGTGCAAAGCGGCAAGTATTTGATTCGGATTCAGATTTGGCCAATTCAGAGAGAGAGTGATTCGATTCAGTGATTCAAATCACTGTCCTGAATCAATTCGGCCAATTCAGACCCAAAGATTCGGCGCCGATTTGGAGATTCGGCCATAGACTAACAGGCAGCAGAACTCAAGGACACTGGACACAGCTGCCTCCAGCTGGTAAGTCTATTGTGGTGAGCGGAGTGGGGAGCAAAGGGACATGGGGGGGCAGATCAATGCCCCCACAGTGAGGGAGAGATTGGGGCTGGGACAAGCTGCCCAGCCAAGGCAGGAAAACGTGGGACTCGGGGACGAGGGCTCCCATCACTGAGCACCGCCACATGCCACCGATCCGGGAGGACATGGAAGCAGGCGTGTGCCCCTGGATCTGCGCACAGTGGGCTGAGCCAGACTGTACTCCGGGCGGGCAGCAGAATGTGCTGGGAGTGGGGGTTATGCCCTCCCACCATTTGTCCAGCCAGGGGGGGGGGACTTGGAATGCAGGCACAGCAGCATGGGCTATGCCCTGCTGGGGCAGGGATGGGGGTGGGGGGGAGGTCCTAAGAGTCGGGACTATGCCCTTCTACTGCTCACTCAGCCAGGGCGGGGAGGCACTCGGACAAGTGGCGCGCAGCAGCAGAACCCGCTCCAGCCTCCCTATGCCTCCCAGACAAGCTGTGGCTTCGCCCTGCCGAGACCTGGCTGGGCAAGCAGCAGTAGGGCATGGCAGCAGTTGCATGTAGCCAGATCAGGGAGGGGCTGGCAGCAGGGGCTATGGAGAATTGTAGGGTGGCTGCAGCCCTACCATAGCCCTTGCTGCACTGTGCTCTGCAGGGCAGGCAGCGCCAGGGCTGCGCTTTGAACTGAACCCACAGAGCGCAGCCTAGCCCACCCTGCACAAATCCAGGGGCACATGCCCCCTTCCATGCCCCCCTGGACTGGTGGTGTGCAGTGGTGGGAGCCCTCCTCTCCAAGTCCCATACCCCCCACCCCGGCTGGGCATCTTGTCGCAGCCCCAATCCCTCCCTTGCTGTGGGGATGTTAATCTGCCCATTCCCCCGTGCACCTTCCCTCCACCCTTTGCCCACAACAGAGTTACCAGCTGGAGGCAGCTGTGTCCAGCATCCTCAAGGACTGGTGCCTGCTTAGTCTATGGCTGGAATCTCCAAATCGGCGCCGAAGCTCTCCAAATCAATTTGGAGGCTTCTGATTCAATTTGGAGTTTTTAATGGGTCTCCCGATTCAGAGTTTCAGTCACTGAATCAGGTTGAATCTCCTCCAAATCGAATTGGCTACCAAAGCTTCGCACAGCCCTACTGGCTCATGTCAATAGTGATTTTTTTGTTTGTTTCCCACCATTCATTTGTTTCTGCAATGGTAGTATAGTAAAAGATCTGTTATCTGGCATCCCCCGGGAATGGGGGATGCCAGATAACAAGATATGCTGGTTAATTGAGCGGCCCCAGCCGCCACTTCTGGGGCATCCCTCCGCCCCTCCTGCCGCATTGCCACTGCTCCCGTGGGCCCCACAGGACAAGGAGGCGGGCCCCACACAGCCCAGTATGCCCCCAGGCTGTGAGGGCTCAGAGAAACCAGAAGTGCCACAGTGGGCACTTCTAGTTTCACTTTATCTTACAAGCTGGCATGCCACTTAGTGGAGCACGCCAGCTTATAAGATGCCAGATAACAGAACTTTTACTTTATTAGTAACAAAAAAACTCAAAACTATGTACTACAACAAACTCTTTCCATTTAAAACTCATTATACATATATACCACCTTCCAAATATTTTAGGAATGTTGATCCACGAAGAGTATTTGTTCAATTTAGCTGAAGTAATTCTAGTCTAAAATATAAAATATTGTTGATAAACACCAGTAACTCTAAGCTTAAAGGTGCTGGGGCTGCCAACTTTGGCAGTAAAATATGATAATCTAATCATAATCTTATTAAGCAATATATTTAAGTGAGTATCATCAAGAGAAAAATACAGTGGAAAATATAGTCTGTCTTTGGTAAATAAAATTGCATCAGCTGTCCAGTCACCTACAAGACATACAAGAAAATCTGTATACAACTCAATTATTTTAAAACAGAATCTACTATTCTACATATCATTATTATGCCAGGTAGTAAAATACCTTTAATAAATAGCTCTGTACAGGGCTATATTTTGTACAAAATGGTTAGATATTTCTGTGCACCAAAGTATTTAATTACTTCGAAGCAAAATTGACTTCTTAAAAAAAAAAAATGGGGGGAAAGGTTGTTTTGTTTTTACTTTGCATGAGCTTCTGTCCCTCCTTTCTTACCCACCTAAATTCCTTTCTTTTTAAGAACACATCTTACTACTAGGATTTAGACAATGTAAAAATGTATTTGAAGGTCTGTCAGTCCTCTCTCCATGTACTTCACTATAAGCTTCTACAGAAGCAGTCTGCAACAATCCTTCATGGGAATGGACAAGCCAAGTAAAAATACAAGTTTGAAACATCTTATGCCATTTGACAGTTCATGTTTTGGATACTATCTTTTAGTAGGAAGGTTTGATGTTCTTTGTAAGAGACTGTAGAGCTTACAATGAAACAAAAGACATGTGAAGTACTTGAAGGAAATTGTCTATGTCAGGGATCAGCAACCTACAGCCCATGAAACTGGGGCTTCAGCTGCGTTTGATGGGAGGGAGGTTTTCTGTGCTGCAGTGGGGAGAAGGTCCTAGTGGCAGCAAGGCCCTAGTGGCAGTGGCAACAAGGTCCTAGTGACAGCCCACCCAGGACCTAAGCTGGGTCATTCTGGCCTGCTGCTACCAAATGTTGCTAATCACTAGCATGGGCAGTTCAGAAGAAAAGCATTTACAAGTAAACATCCCCAACTGAAGCAAAAAGAATCCCAACTAAACAAAAAGGCAGACTGAGGAAGTAATGATTACATTACTCAAAATGCTTTCCTTCTAACATTAGGTAGGAAGAAATGAAAAAAAAAAAACAAGTAATATCATAAGTTTACTGAACACTATTAGACTCTATATGCAAACAGGGAAATAATTTTTAAACTATGTTCCTGTTCGTAGCTGTTAGCAATCTTCTCCATGAGTATCTTAGGCAGAGGAGGGGAAAGCAAGCAAGTAGGTGAGTTCTAATAATTTCATTAAGCTCTTTTTCAAGGTGTTGCATTTCAGGAATGGTGGGTTTTTTTGCTAATACACTAAAATCCCTGATATCTGGCACAAGTGGGGAATGGGTAGTGCCAGTAATGTAAAAATGCTGGTTACCTGAGGGCACAAGGTTACTGGCCAGATGCAGAGTGGGGATAGAAGAGGGGTGGCGCTGGCCACTCGTGGAGCAGGAAGGGAGGGCGGTGGCTGGTCGCACAGTGGCAACAGTACAGTGGTGGTGGCCACATGCAAGCCTTCCCCCACTGCCCCACCATGTCCAGCCAGTTGGCTGGAAATTCTGGTTACTAGAGTATGCCGGTTAGTAAAATCCCAGATAACAGGGATTTTACTGTACTCCACAAGATGCCACTCAGAATTTCCAACAATTACAGTCCCCTCAGTTTACTTCTCAACCAACTTGAGTTTCTTGCCCACGTATTGTTGATGTCTACTAAATGCAAATAACCTGTCAACATAGTAGATGTATGTCCATTCAGATAATTTTCACTACAACTGTTGAGACAATTAACATTTACATTTAGTCTTGACAAAATAACCCGTCAATCATGGATTCTGGTAAAATATTAAAATTTAATTGTATCCTCTCCACATATAACTATATGAAAGCATGAGAAAAAGTATTCAAACAAACTGATATACGTCTAAAACAATATATACAAATTCTAACTGCAAACTGACCATGAAGTCACGAATACTTAAATATTTGGTACAATATAGTGTAAATTTTAATATAAATTAGATATTAAATTCCATTTGCTTACTTTAGTGATAATAGTCTATTCTTTACATGTTATATACATTAAAATACTAAAAAGTTAAAAAAATCTTTTTGATATAGGTACTATGCAATATATGGGAAAATACATCAGATTTGCTATTTTATACACTATCTAAATTAAACTTTCTACACTGTTCTTTGAAAAAATTAATGGCACTCTTACATGCATCAAGGCATATAATATGAGTCTGTATGTTACCAGTATACCATTTCAGTGAAAGGTAAACTAAAACGCAAATGTCCGTTCAACCACATAGTTGAAAATCTAAAATGAAGACTGGTGTAAACAGATTCTGACAAACCCTCTGATTAAGATTAAACTAACATAAAGAAGAAAGTACACTATTTTTCATATAAAGCTACCAATAAACCAATGAAAATAGAACATACTATGAAATTTAAGTCATGTAACATCACAAACTTACTTAAACAACATATAATGGAGAAGAAAAAACTGATCTTTTATGAATTTTAAAAGTCAGCCTCTCCTGTGGACTGCAGCATCTAGGCTGCTTTTCTGTTGACAGTTTCCTAAATTACTTCTGCCACTCTGAATTGCACATCGGTAGTCAGATGAGTTTTCTAGACTTCATTATGCCATTGTGTAACCATAGCTTCCACAGTGTAACGCTACAAGAAGCCTGTCCTTAAGGATTTCTTTACTTGGGTATTCAGGTAACTTCAGCATGTTGATACTGAAAAGAAGGGAAGAAAGCATCACAATTAAATATGAAATCTAAGAATAAAAATTTCTGATTGTTTTGTATTAAGTAATTAACGTGAAATTGTCCTCCCAGATTTGCATTACAATCAGAAAACCCCAAAGATGTCATATTTATGAAAAAACGCACTGCTGCATTGCAGTACCTTTCAGCATTCAAATGTACTGCAGGAAAATAAGTTCCTTTTGGCTTAGAATAAAAAGCAATATAGTAATTTAGCTTCAAGTGTCCCTTAGTGATATTGTACTGCCTTCCATTAAAATACAACAGAATAGGTAGAATTTTTTCCTTCAACAACAGGGAAGAAAAATATAACAACCTATTACTTGTAATAACTAGTTTTCTACTAGAGAGCAGATACATTGCAAGCTGACCAGAGGGTCTCCTTTTAATGAGATGATACCAAACCTGCCAGTTTTGGGGGTGTAAAAAAGTTAATGAAAACAATGAAAGGAATGCGTTCATTTTCTTAATGCATTTAAATGAGGCTATTTAACATACCACGTGCTCGATGTTGGGAGCAGATTTGGAGTATATGGCACAGCAGCAATTGTAAAATTTTGAAGTCCACTGCCACCCATTATATGAGCAAAGCCACCATGAGGCACCCTGGAACTGAAAACGTCCACAGATTATACAAACATGAAAAGGGCAATTACAATCCATAAACATAGCTTGTACAGAAAAATCTGTCACATATAATATCCAATTGCTAATGGCTTTGCAAGTCCCATTGTAAAATGCAATTATACTATTACGTTAAAAGTGGGTTTCTCTCATTAACATTAGTTGTTAAACTATTTAGCTACTATTAAGAGAGGCTTTGTAATTTCTCGAGAGACTCATTCTTAGCAACTGGTCATTTTCTTGGTGCAGATTAAATTTGGTATTATTTAATAGTTAAGAAATACTGTAGGCTAGAACTTCCCTTCCCGTGACTTGTTATGAGTCTGATCAAAATGTTCTTGATGTCTCTGTATCATTTAATAGACTCAAAATTAAACACTGTGGTACTTCTTATAATGAAGTAAATATATTAAAGGAAGGTGATTTAATACAGTAATTATCTTTTGCAATATTGTGAAATGTTAAATACCTAAGAATGACTATAAACTTATCTATAAAAGATATTCTTGTAATAATCTAAAAAACACAGTATCTACACTGTAAGTGACCATATTTACATTTTTTAGATTTTTTTTTGTAAGTGACAACCTCCTATGAAGAATTCAAAAACAATTTACAGGATGGTCAACTACGGTAAAGTACAAACCATTTATTTTAACAACATCAACTTATACTTTCATTTTAGCCTATAACATACAGGAAGATGTTAAAGCAGGGATGGGCAAAATATGGCTCGCAAGCCAGATCTGGCCCTCCAACTGACTGGATCTGGCTCGCAGATGGGCACCCATGAATTGACTGGATCTGGCCCTTGGCTTCCCCCATGGTAAAGCTTCCTAGCAAAGCTGCAGCCATCCGGGTACTGCTTAGTTCCCCCTGCCTCCAAAGGTTCCTTCTGCCCCTGCTGCTTTGCTCCAGGTACTGGGGAAGCTGTAGTTGGGTGGCGGCTCCTGCCCCAGCACACAGGGCTCCAGTGCCAGCTCCTGGCCAGCTTCCACTCACTCAGCCACCTGCAAGAGACTGTTTATCGAGCCAGGCAGGCGGAGCGGGTGGAAGGCAACCAGAAGCTAGAGCTGGAGCCCCTCATGCTGGCATAGGAGCCACCCAGCTGCAGCTTCTCCCTGCCTGGAGTGGCACAGCAGAGCAGGAGGAGAATGAGCCACTGGATGCAGGGTGAGCCAACCAGTACCCAGGCAACTGCAGCTGCAACAAGAGCAGCCCTCCCAGGAAGCCATGCACAGTGGCTGGAATGGGGGCCATGGACTGCCCTGGGCAGGGCTGGGCAGATTCAAACTGGAAGTTTAAGAACTGAAATATCAAAATGCTTAACTATTTAATAGCCTTAATAGAAATTTAGTTGTTTCTTGTGGAAAGATCTAGTAAAACAGGTTAAGCCATGCCTCTCACTTTTAATGAAACATTTCAAAAAGGACATGCATACAATACAGTAACATGGGGGTGTCAAACTCATCAGCCCCAGGGGACAAGACTGGGCCCACAGACCAGCCCTGTGAACTGGCTCCAGCATGCAAGGCTAGTTCAGCGTGGCGCCTCATGCAGTGCATGTCCCAAGCTGGCCACATGCACCACCTGCAGCATAGAGCATGTTGTACACTGGCCAATCCAGGGCACCTCTGCATGCAGTGCACAGGGCCAGTCTGAGACCCATGGGTAGTACTGTGGACCAAATGACAGGGCTCTGTAGGCCAGATATAGTCCATGGGCTGCATTTTGACACTTCTACATTAAACCAGGACATAGAATTTCCCTAC